TTTACATTCCTCACATTACACATTTAAGATGCCTAGAGAAAGAAGAATCTGAGGTACAAACACTCTTTTTAAGTGATTTGAAAATGAAGTAATTCTCCCCCATTTTCCATTTGAAAACATATCTTCAGATTGTTTTACCTGCAGTTTTATAAAGGCCAGGCCAAAAGAAGAAGAAGAAGTTAGAGAAAATGAATGACACCTCTGAACTTGGCATCAGAGAACAAAGAAAACTCAACTGAGGTTCTGGAATAGCCCTCCCAGCCCTGGGAATAATATCATAAAACTCTGTGCAAACTCTGCACACACTGGCTGCCAGAAAAGATGAAGAAGGCAAAGAGAAGTTCACTGACTGTAAAGAAAGGGTGGAGGACAAGGTAATTGCCAAGGAGGCGATAGACAAGGCACAAGACATCTGCCATGCCCAGGGGGCCGTGCTGGCTCTATTACATTACTTCCACATCAGCACATCACCTCATTTATTAGCTAATCAGGCAGAATTCAATGTTTGAAATTATCTTTCTTATTCCTGCATGTGATCAGTTGAAAACCCAGGGCTCTAAAAATCTAATTGTAATTGCTTACCAGAAATGTCATCTTCACTTGGAAGAATTGAACCAAGGCCAAATGTGAGGGTATTTTTTTTTCTGTTTTCCCAAAGTACTGTCCCCCAGGACTGGATATGCATTTACAGGTCCCCAGTACCCTACATTCTAGGGCTCCCTGAAGAGATGTGGGCACTGGTCCTACTTCCAGACTCAGATATGACATAAAACTAAAGGTAGCGTGTGGCCATGGAGAAGGAGGCATGGAAGTGAAGGAACAATAATTTAAGCCTTAGCAAAAGTCAAGAGAGAAACATCTGAATCTAGATAAGAGTTGGGCCTGGGCAGGAAGTAGTCCCTCTGCCCAACAGGAAGGCATGATGTGGCAGAGCTTGCTTGCTCATCCATGATCGGGCTTTTTTTCTTCGCACCCTACACCTCAGCCCCACTTCTCAGTGTGACAGCGTGGCAGTGAGCCTTTGGTCAGCTCCTTGCCTGTTTTCCTAGGCTGCTCAAGTAGTCTTCCCGAGACAGACCTGCAGGACTCTGCTGTAGGTCTTCCAAGTGTCTTCCACAGAGTAGGTGTCTCCTGGGGAAACCTGAAACTATGAGGAGATGAGAAAATTACCTGGAATCCAACTGTCCCCTTGGCCCCAGTGCCCATCACTGCTGGTGGAAGTAGGCAAGGGAATGGAAGAATGGTATGTGGCTCACAGCCTGCTGGACATCAGCCTGCCCTTTGTATGAACCTAGCGGTGCAGGTTGTAGGCTGGTGACGTGCACTTTGTGTGTTAATTGTCCTGATGACATGTGCTGTGTTTGAATGACCTGTTAGTGGCACAAATACCTTGTGTGTGTGTTTGTGGTGGTTTGTATGTGCACAGAATACAGTGGAATAGAGTTAAAAGCTTAAATCTTTAAAGCGAGTCTCTCTTGCTTTCCTCGTACTACTTCTATTCCTTTCAAAATATATAAAGAAAAGTGCTTTATACAATGGTCCACCCCTGAAAAGGGTATTTGATTTGGGAATAGAAGGAGTCCAGAGTATATCTTCCCTGAGAGATTCTCTAAAAATTAAAATCTTTATATTCCTTTCTTCTCTTGGTCAAAACAAACCAAAACTGGAAAAAAGAAAGACTATGTTTATAACTACTAAATAACTTTCCTGTTCCTAGTTAGAAAAATCCTCCTTCTCTATTTGTCCTTCTCTGTATTAACTTTTAGTGTTAGAATTTAGAAATCTAATCATTTAGACCTCATTATAAGTGACTATAATTTGCTTCAAATACATATATTTACTGCTTGCCTCACTAGTCCCAAAGAACCAGCTTCTGTAGGAACCTTGACTGTAGCATCTCACTCTGCTTGAAACCCACCTCTGTCTGTCCATGAGCATTAAAACCCAAGCCTTAAGATTATAAAGACCACAACCCCCCAGGACAGCCATAGTTCATGCACTTAGCTTTCTGCCTCTTGGTTCCATATTTGTTTTTGGATTCTGGAAAAATCCTCTAGTTAGGCATAGTTACAGTGATGAGGTTTCTGTTTCATCCTGGGCATCTGGAGGGTTTTCAGGTCTCTAGGCCACAACGTTGCTTGAAAGAGGAGGTTAAGTGGGGTCTCATCGCATCCAATGACCACAGACAGGATTCTTGGGCTGCCTGTCATCTTATTCTCAGAGCATTATGGGAGTTCCAGGATTCATTTAACAAAATGTGCCTCTAGAGCTGGAAACAGTTTTTTAAGAAATGGAAACTTCCTGAGGTTGTGGCTCAGCAGTAGAGCATTCGCCTAGCACATGCAGGGGCCCTGGGTTCGATCCTCAGCACCACATAGAAATAAATAAACAAAACAGAGGTATTTGTCCATCTATAACTAAAAATATATATTTTTTAAAAAAAGGGAAAAAAAAGAAGTGTGTCACATTAGATTGGGTAGAGAGATGTGATGGGAGGGGAAGGGGGGATAGGAAGGGCAGCAGAATAAAATAGGCATTATTATTGCTGTATGTTTATAGGTGACTGTATAACCAATGTGATTCTGCAACTTGTACAATCAGAAAAATGAGAAATTATACTCCATTTGATTCAAATGTATGAATTGTCAAGATCATTGTATTGCCATGTGTAACTAATAAAAAAATTCATCAAACAGATTAAAAAATAAAATAAAAGAAATGGAAACTTCCTCAAGATACTGAGGCAGGAAGATTGTAAGTTAAGACCAGCTTAGGCAATTTAGCAAGACTCTTAAAATAAGGGCTGGGCCTGTAGCTCAATGGTAGAGCACTTGCCTGACATGTGCCAGGCACTGGGTTCAATTCCCAGTAATGCGAACAGAGAGAAAAGAAATAAAAGAAAAGGAAAAGGGTTGGTGGGGGGTATGAAATGAGAAGTTCCTCTATAGGAAAGTATGGCAATCTGGTGATGAGCTCCTACTATGAACCCATTTATTCGGCGCACTTTGAAATTTCTGCACGCCACACGTGGGACACAGGCTGGTGTAACAGGTGTAGTAAGATAGCCCCTAGCCACAGAGAGCTTGGAACCTAGAAGACTATGCAGCCCACAGGGTCAGAATGAGAAGTGCAGAGGCGGGGATGCCCCTGGGTGCTGTGGGAGCCCAGGGAAGCTGCTTGAGAGGGGAAAGGAAGGGGTGGGCAGAGGGATATGCCAGAGGCAGCTTGGTAGGGGCTAGCCGGGAAGAGTGGTAGCAGCTCATCACACACCTGGAAGGTAGGAGGAGCTCTAACTGGAATGAGTTCAGAATACAAGAAAAAAATGCAGGAGCTGTGGTGGTTGTGGCTCAGTGGTAGCGCACTTGACTCGCATGTGTGACTCACTGGGTTTGAGTGTCAGCACTGAATATAAATAAATGAATAAAATAAAGGTCCACCAACAACTAAAAAAAAATTTTTTTTAAATGCAGAAGGGTGAGGTGGAGAGGGGACAGGGATGGGTTGTGAAGCCTTCAGTCCACACATCCTCCACACTAGGGGTTAATGCTTTCTTCTAAGGGCAGGGGGAACCATTGAAGATTTTAAGCAGGGGATAGATTGGGTCCTACTTAAACTTCATATAAAGATTAATGTGGCTGTAGCATAAAGAAGAAATTGGAAATTATGAGACTGGAGGCGGGGAAAACAGGCCAGAGGCTTCAGTATTGATCTGGGTAGGAAATGATGGCAGCCTAGACTGGAGAAGCGGCAATGGGCATGTTGAGCAGAGGGTATGAGAGCTCTTAAGAATTTAGAAGATGCACAGTAGTTCATTTCCTTTAAAAAAAAAAAAAAAGTGGGAGGAGGGAGACTAAGTTAGGTGGTCATTTCATGTTCAAAACAAACATTCTGGGGGCTGGAATGGGGCTCAGTGGTAGAGCGCTTGCCTTGCACGTGTGAGGCCCTGGGTTCCATCCTCAGCACCACATAAAAAGAAATAAATAAAACAAAGGTCTTGTGTTATGTACAACTAAAAAAAATTTAAAAAAACAAACAAATATTCTGGCAGTCTCAGTGTTTTTCCACATTTTTGTTTTGGGGGGGCTGAGGAGAGGAAGTGGGTACCAGGGATTGAAGTCAGGGACACTCAAACACTAAGTCACATCCCCAGCCGTATTTTGTATTTTATTTACAGATAGGGTCTCACTGAGTTGCTTGGCAGCCTCACTTTTGCTGAGGCTGGCTTTGAACTCATGATCCTCCTGTCTCAGCCTCCTGAACCACTGTTTCCATTGTGAGTATCATCAGTGGTTGCAGGTAGCACAGGGAGATACCCATATATTTTACAAAAGATAAAAATCTCAGGCAATTTCCACATGCCTTTCCACTGGGCATATATATATACATGCCTCCCCATTTGGGGGAATCACTCATCTGCATAACAGACAAGAATTTGGAGCAGAAATATAGCTTTCATTTCAAGTAAGTAACAATCTAGGCATGGTGGCACACACCTGTAACCCCCGAGGTTGGGAAGGCTGAGACAGGAGGATTGAGTTCAAAGCCAGCCTCAGAAACTTAGCAAGGACCTAAAGGCCTAAAATTACAAAAGGGCTAGGGATGTGGCTCAGTGGTTCAGCATCCCTCAATTCAATCCCCAGTGCAAGCAAGCAAGCAAGCAAATAAATAAATAAATAAACAAATACATACATACATACATACATACATAAAGTGATAACATTTGAAGGAAGCTTTTGCAGTGTGACGCAGTTCAGATACTGTGCCGTACCACACACGCTTTAGATGCTAGCTTACTGTCAATAGAAACATGGCCTCACGTAACTATGCTTCCTTCCCGATGAAGTGACAGATTGGCCAGCATGTGATGAATTTGGGTTGTGTAGATAAAAATACCAGGTGTGCCAGCCAAGGCATACAGTTTGCTGTGAATCACCCACATCAACTTTCAGGACAGTTAGAGTCACAGAACAATTGCTCAGTTCCTTCCTTCATTTTCACAGTGTGGACCTGGCTGCAGACCCAAGAGTGAAGCAGCAACTTTAAGAAAGCAGAAACATTATAAATAACCCAAAGAACCCTTTTATAATAGCAACTGCCTGCTGATTTTGTGGCCTAACAGCTCAAGCAGAAAAGGATATAAATACAATATTGTGCAATGACTAATTACTCAAAACTCTGTGCATCAGCAGAAGTGGAACCTGCGGTTGGTGCTAATGTTATCAAATGCCTTTGCTGTTTAATAATCTGTAGCTTTATATTATCTAGCATGGAATTTTCACAGAAAACAATGATTGTATTTCAAGTACCTCTCACTGAAATTAAAAAGCAGCTGTTAAAAGATGAACATTTGGCAGAAGATGTTCTAGCAAATCTTGTAAGACACTAAATCATATTGGATTAACTATTTTCTGTCTAAAGAGTGGAGTCACAAAGAAAAAAGATTGCTGACCACAGAAGGCAAGGCCAGTCTTTAGAACAAGTGAATCACTAACAGACCTTTTAGTTTTAAGTGCCATTTATTCACCGATATATTAAGTTATTTATACACAAAGCTTTCATTAATGTTGCCTGAAGAATGGGCCCTTTTTTATTCCATTTTTAGCTCATACTCAAGATTCCATTTCTCTTTCATTAATTATAGAATAAATTAATCCGCCACAGACATTTTGGGCAGAATGGGGGTTTGAGACAGTTTTCAGTCTCCAGGGGCCATCTTCCTCTATGGCTAGCCATACAGCAGAGAGTAAGGGCTGTGGCTGAGGGCAGCGCCTGCCAGCACTGCCACTCAGGCCCTGCCTGGGAACCTGAGGAGGCAGAGTATGTGTGGCCTACCCACTCCAGGTTGACAGTGTCCCACATATGTTCTTTGAGCTGGCCAACCACTGGCCCAACTAGGAATGAACCAGTGAGGAAGTGACATCATGACACGGTTGCTGGACATAGCCCGTTTCAGCTTTAATGTTTTATTGACAGGGAGGTTTTTACAATGCTAATATAATTGTAAGTAAAACATGAAATGCTCCTTTTTAAAATTATCAGGCAGCATGTAAACAGCTTTTCCTCAGTTCCTATTCCTGGAATAGAGTGGGTGATGGGTGGAATTTTTAAATGGAGGGAGGACTCTCAGAGATAACTGAGGATGGCTTACAGTGGGGAACCCAGGCTTGGCTGAGGGGAAATGAAGTGAAGAAAGGAGTTGACTCAGGCATGTCTGCTTTGCATATCATTCAGTGATAGGAGACAGTGCGTCTGCCTTTTTATGAAGTCGTTAGCATTCAAGTGTTAGCTCAAAACAGCTTCATCACAACACTCTACATCAGTGCTGGTGTGACTGACCAGCTCAGAGGCCATCACCAGCTGATGAAGCTGAGAGTGGACCTGAGTGGACATAGGCAGGCCCAGATGGAGCCAGCAAATGGCCTCTGTCAGTATGAACCATTGGCTAACTTGGATCAGGAGCCATTTCACCAACAGTGGGGCCAGATCTCTGATGCAGTCAACACCACAGCCACGTGCCCCATGTGTGAAGTGTGAGGTGGCCAAACACACTGTATCCAACAGGAAGTTTTTTTGTCTTTGTTTCAATTTTAGATTAAATCCCAGTGGGGCGATTATTGTGATTACCTGTACTCTTGCAAATGGTTACTAAATACTAGTAGGGCACTAATACATGAGAATCTGAAAGCTCTGGGATGAAGGTTGGCAGAGTTTTTCTTGTTCTACAGTAGTTGAAATTTAATCAATATATTGAAAATGGAAAGGCCACTGTCATTTTTAATACCACTTACAGTCTCTGTGGGCAGTGAAATGGTGCCCTGAACATACCTCAGCCCCACCTTACTTTGATTTTACACTTGACCTCCCATTGATCCTTCTCTGTTCTCATCTATCTAAATGAAAGAATACTTTAGCCCCATAAACCTCATTCTGGATAGAAATACATAATTCAAGAGGAATACTGATGTCAAAGAAGAAAAGGCACACCAATTTGTGTCAGCATTTGCTGTAAATTAAAGAGGAGTACAAGGAGAGTTTAATGTAATGTAGAGTTGAAATTAAAATAGAACCAATATTTAGGCATTCCTCCGCCTCTTTTTTCCCTGCTGTGACATGAAAGATTGACTTTCTCCCAGCCTAAGTATTAATGTATTTCATTTTTTTCTTTTCCACTGGGATTTTTTCCCCATAAAATGTTACATGTTTATCAATGGCATCTGAATTTGAACTTTTTCACTCGTTCCAGTCTTAATCACAACAGCAAAAGCCAGGGGAGAAAAGAGTTGGTTTCCCGTCATGCTCCACTCCCTTCATGTTTGCAGTCGAGGAAGGACCTCTGCCTGCTTATCTGCTGTCATGAGCTGTTGATTCCCCTGGATACTGATTCTCTAATGTGTCGCTTCCATGGTGTCTTTTTCCAAAGCTGGAAAATCAAAAATAGATATGAACAATGTACTGTTGTGTATGGTTCACAGGAACCCTTTGGCACAAATCCACCAGTGTCCTTCCCTGTAAAGCAGTCCCGGGAGCTTCACATTTAGTTCTATCCAGCTGCCTTTGTTCAGAACCTGTTTGAAGCTCCTTATTCAGGTTTCCACCAGGGCTAGTTTTGCTCCTTACAGTTGCCTATTGTTTGGGGTCAGTGGTGGACTCCCTAGCTTGATTCTACATCACTAGACTTGGTTTCAAGTGATTCAGTCTTTCCAGAAATAAATTCCTCTGGAGAGTGGTTCTCAAAGTGTGGCCCCTGACACCCCAGAATAGCAGCATCTGTATCACCTGAGAATTCATTAAAAGTGCAATTCCTGGGCCCCACATTGGATTTAATAGATCAGAAAGGCTGGGAGTGGAGCCCAGAAGCCTGTGTTAACTAACAAGCTATCCATGCAATTCTGACCTCTCTGCTTAAGTTTGAGAAACTCTGGTTTAGAAGATAGGTTTGCTTCCAGGAAGGATTTTCAAAGATATGCTACAATTTTTGATGGTATTCCAAAAAAGTTTCAAAATATTTTTTGGCAAACATGGAAGACATGTTTATGGCCTCCCCAGAGGACAGTTAATGGGACTATGCTTCCACCAAAGGCACCCTAATTGTGCCATCTCACCATGTCTTCAAGCCATTTCTTACACTTGATTTCTCATCTGGAAAATGAAAGATTCACCCTTCTACCTCACAGGATTGTAATGAGATTCAAATTGAATCACATCTGCAAACATGCCCGGTAAACCAGAAAGTGCTCTGTAAACGTGAAAGTCAAATCACTCTGCAGGCAGTATTCTGTGGTGCCAGCATCACATTCAAGGATGTGAGTGGGAAAAGGCCTGTCAGCCAGATCCACCTTTCTGTCTCCATAGTGTCCTGGACATGATGGGTCTCAGATTCGGCCATTTCAGCTCACCAGTTGAGAGAAAACCTTTGCCTGAGTAGTGACTGCAAGAGGCTAGGAAATATAGCCATGATCAGACATGCTGTTTTCTCTGAGTCTCAGGAAAGCTCTGAGGATCAGTGAGGGCAGACAGTGTTGTGTGAATGCTGAGGCTCTCGTGCCCAATACATGGCTCATAGCAGCCCTGGAATGGTCTCTCCAGAAACCATCTACTACAGGGCTGTGCAAGGGAATCTTGACCTTTAAGAAGGAAGTTTATTGCTACACATTAATCATTACAGAAAACTGAAAAGAAAATCCTCGAGCCAACCAAATCTATAGAACTGAGATTTATAAACCAGACCAGTTAATGTGTCTGTTAGGGAAGAATGTGGGTTGATTTTTACCTCAGAGATTAGCTTTTACAAACAATTTCACCATAGGAATTGTTAAACAGCAAGCTCCTGATGCATTTATAATTTAATTTGAAAACTTTGGTGAACACTTCTGAGCAAGAAGGAAGCTAAGCCTGTTGCCTCGGTGCTTATTAGGAATGAAGTTTCAGTAACACGGAGCAGTTCCCACTGGGCCAGTATCAGCTTCACTTTTCACACAAAGTGCCAGCTAAAATCAAGAGATTAGGTATGAATATAATTGGTTAATTAGGGTTAAATTATTGGTTAATTGTGGCATAGTATGCTATTGGTTAACTCTAGAATTAAAATATGAAATGATTTTACTCAAAAATGTATGTCTATTTAACAACTCTGTAGAGACAGCAGGTAGATTAGTGGTTGCTAGGCTGGGAGTAGAGGGAAGAATGAAGGACCATGAGGTTTCTTTTAGGGGGGATGAAAATTTCTAAAATAGATTGTGGTGATGGTTGCTCAACCCTGTGACTGTACTAAAAACACCGAATTGTATGCTTTAAGCGGATGACTTGTATGGTCTGAATTATATCTCCAACTTGTCTTTTTGGAGGGAGCTGGGGATGTAGCTCAGTGGTACAGCATGTGCTTAGCATGCACAAGGCTGTGGGTTCAGTCCCTGGAACTGGCAGCAACAATAACAAAAAACCTAATAACCAGTAAATTGTATAGCAAGGAAAAAAAATTATGCGTACTGAAAAGACAAATGAAAATAATACCAAAACATTGCTGCATATTTCATACTTGATTAATTTGAAATACTGATTATTTAAAATATATCAAGTCAGAGAATGTTTACTCTATTAATTAGAATACTTTTTTTTAAAAGAGAGAGAGACAGAGAAAGAATTTTTTAATATTTATTTTTTAGGTTTTTTTTTTTTTTTGGCGGACACAACATCTTTGTTTGTATGTGGTGCTGAGGATCGAACCCAGGCCGCACGCATGCTAGGTGAGCGCGCTACCGCTTGAGCCACATCCCCAGCCCAAATTAGAATACTTTTAAAAATGGACTATCTCAGCCTAATAATTGAAATTTAACTATCATAATTAAAGTGGCTGACAGTAGAAGGCAAAGTCATGGACATTGTGACATAATAGTTTGTCATGTTCCCTACAGATTTATTTAGAATGAAAATCAGCAGCACTTACACAATAATGATATGAAATCTGGATTCTCACTGTCCATCTTGATGGTCATAAACTATGCTGGTTTGGGAAGGTGGAGGTTGGGGAAGGATGTGATCTCATCTTTATGAGATAAATACATGCTGATAAGACGGACAGATTCAGGTGTGAGCTGTGGAACTGGGCTCTTGTGTAAGCAGCGTCGCCTGTCTGTTCACCAGCGAACCCTCTGTCATATCTGCACAGGAGGCATCCTCTGCCCTTTCCTGCCTTGGGAGGGTACTCAGCCACCCTGGTCTTCATCTTCTTGCTAAATTCCTCACACTGGGGCTTGGGCCTTGCCCAGGGAGGTGGAGACTATAAACTGAGACAAACAGGAGAAGAATTGATTGGGAGATGTGGGAACTACAGGCTCAGTGGAAAGA